ACCTCGGAAACCCAAGGAGGGGTCGCTACGAGTCGGGTTCAATTCGACAGCAGTGAGTTGAGTTGTTGAGACTAACAGATGAGTGGTAGCCACACTTGAAGTACACTGGCAGAAAATCGAGCCTAGGTCTCCCACAGGAAGGCAAGAATTCCACCACTGAACCACCACTGCCCTATAATAAAGTCTTAGAGGTAAGTATTTCCCCTCCTCATAGATTTGGGTGGTGGTGTTACTAAAAATTAGTATCTGTCACTGGAAGGGTGTGTTACCAGTTAATGCTTATGTGAATAAAGAGGCATTTTATTTACCCCACTTTGGTGGAGACACTTCCTTGCACACCTGCCTTGGAGTGCCCTATTTTCCATTGTCCTAACAAAGACATAGGATAGCTAGACTGAATCAGTCTGACTTGTTTATAGTAACAATGCAGAACAGAGGTAACGATCACAGGCTCCAGAGCAGATTGCCTATGCTGAGTCTCACTTTTGACCCTTATTAGTTGTATGGGCTTGGACACTTAACCTTTCTGTATCTTATCTATAATCTTATAGGGTGATTGTAAGAATTAAATGAGTTAATACCTGCTTGACAACAGTTGCCATTGAGTCAATGCTATTGCTACAACTGTAGCAACCATATAGGACAGAGTGAAATTGCCTCATATTGGTTACAAGGCTATAATTTTCAAGGAAGCAGATTGCCACAACTTTCTCCCTAGGAGGGGCTGCTGGGTTTGAACCAACTGACCTTTCAGTTAGCAGCTGAGTGCCTGACCACTGTGCCACCGGGGCTCCTTCAATAAAGGTTAGTTGGTATTATTATTAAAGCAAAATATTATAAATCATTTAAATGTTCAATAATAAGGGACTAGTTAGATCAGGATACTCCAATCTCATCCACTCATCAAGAAGACAACGTGTCTATCTAGGCTGTTATATATGAAAAAGACTCTAGAAATCTAAACATCATACTGTTAAGACTGATTAGTTTTTGGTAGGAGGAGCATGGATTTACAGTGCAGGACTTCGACTTTCTATCTTCGCAACCATTTAAATTACTTGTTTTCCAGAAGAATTACTCTTACAATCAGGAAGGACAATTCTTCACTTTGAAAAAGGGAAAAAACAAAAAACAACTCAAAAATGATAGACCCTTATCATGCCTCAGAAAGCATACTCACTGGGCATTATTTCCACTACTTTCCTCATCAGTGATTCCAGGCACAGCCTTTCCTGCAGCTCGGCTAATTTCCCTTGAAGAAAAAAATAAAAATCTATTATACAAAAAAATTTTGGAATTTTATAACGCATTTATTAATATAAGTATGAACTAGATGCAAGGCCTGTACAGTTTCCAAGGTACAACTTTTAAAAATTAAATAAAGGTACACCCACACCTCTGAGCACAAAATCAGCTCTTTGTTGAGTCCCAAGGGCAGGGTCTGTTGTCTAGTTATTTCTGTATCATCAGACCCAGTAGAACGCCTGGCATTTAGCAAGTTTATGTGTGAGATGAATAAATGTGGACACAGAAAGTTCACAGAGGATATCTGGGTTGCCCTCTTCTTGCGTTCATTTCCTACTTCCCAAGAGCCTCTAATTTATGTTTTGGGATCCAGTGGATCAGAGTAAACTGACTCCATCCCAGGCTGTAGAGGTTGGAGAACAGCCTACCTACAACACCATTAGCACATTCTACGCTTTCTGCCACAGTGACTGGTTTATGACAGGCATACGGCCTTGGTCAGCTCAAACAAAGCAAATCTCAGGCCTGTTCTTCCCAGGAATGTCGGGACTAAGAGATACTCTCTTGCCCTACATGGTGTAGTATATGAATTTGGGAAGCCAATGTGAATTAGAGTTTGTGGTTACCTGCAACTAAAAAAAGTATTCTAACTGAAAAAAGGTAAATGTGGAATATGCTTTCAAAAAGTGAGAGGAACGTAATTTGATGGATGGGAAATAATATAGTCATAAAACCAACAGGTGAGAAAGGAAGAAGGTGCAGTGAAAAGAGTGTGACAGGAGTTGAGGAGGAGATGAGGGAAGACTCACATAGGAAAGATGAATCGTTTGTAAAAATACTTCTGCTTGTAACATGCTTACCTGTTCAAGACTCCATTGGAAACTAGGGCTTCTTTAGGATGAAAGTACTTGTAATATACATTTCTGACCACAGCATCTTTAATGAGAAAAAAGAGGAAGGTGCATTTTAGATTAGAAGTAAGTTTGATTTTATAAACTCATAAACTGCAACTTGGAAGGAACCCTGAAACTGTTCCAATCCCTCGCATTTTATAAATGGAAGCAACCCAGGTCCAGAAGGGCAGACTTCTGGTGAGACCAGAATGCAAGATCTTATACCCTCAGCCCAGAGCTTTTTCCATTGTACACTGGGCCCAGAGGGGTAGAATGTGGGAAGTAAATAGGGAATTACTGCCTCTGTTTAAAAATTAAAATTACCATTATTAACCATGATTCCATATTCTTCTAGTAGAAAGTTAATATTGGTGTCAAATCTGGATTCTCCACCTTCTCCAAGCATTACAAGGATATCTCCACCACCATCAAGATACTTCTTCAAGACTTCAAACTACACAAAAGAAAAAAAAAAATCTATGAACATACCCAAAAGACATCTGGCCAAACTACTAATGAATAAGACCTTTCAGGTAACTAAAATGGTTCTGTTCAAGGTCAGTGACTGACCAAGCCTCAGTGAGTTCCACCTGTTGTCTGCTTCTCTCCTGGAAGCTCTTTCTCGCTTTCACAAAGTTATGGATGGGAGAAAAGTCCAGGCCTGCTCTTAATGACCCAGCCTGAGAAAACCTACAGTGGGTGGTCTCTGGACTTTCTTCATCAGGCACCCTAGGTATATGGTTGTCTAGGAAGTGTATATATGACTACGGTAGTAACTGATTATATGACATCCCCCCCAAAATGATAAGAAAAATATAAATAAACATGATTTCATTCTGGTAGCCCAGTGGTTCACTGCCTGCACTCCACTTCAGAAACCACTGGCCAAGGCCAGCTCTGCTGTGAGCATGCCCCTCTTGCTGTTACCCGCTTCCTAGATCCCCACCACCACCAGGATATAGAAAGCACAAAGATACAACTAACATCACCAGGGGGCTTTCTCCCAAAGAGAAACTTCATAAATCCTGAACTCTGTACAACAGACAGACTCTCTCCCTAGATTCCATCTGCCTTTTCCTCCCGACTTTCTTGTCAAACTTCTGCTGCGTAGCCCTAAATATCTGCTGTGACTGGTAATAGTAAATCATGTCTAGTCTGCAAGATACGGTCTCAGAACACAGCTTTGGCTTAGGAAATCCTACCGGGACTTGGCACTTCTGATTGTGCTGTTCTGGGACTTGCCCTTGTTTTCTAAATGCAGTGAATGTGGCATTGGTATCGATATTTACTGTGTCTCTTGGCCACTTGGCACTTTGGGAAAAAGAGCTACACTAAGAATGAGTGTGTAAATGACAGTTTTCCAGAGGTTGAAGGAGTTCCCACAAGCTCTATCCAGACATCTAAGTGAAACTCTTCTCGTTAAACAATAGACATTTGGTGCAAATTGTTTCTTTTTTTGCTATGGCAAAAACAGATTAATTTTGTAGACTGACTTCCTAACAGGAATGCATTCACACCATTAAATTTCAGGTACTGGGGCAGCAAACTTGGGGTGTTTTATATTGCTGACATTATGCTCTCCAAGCCACTGACTCATAATGAGCTGTCAAGTCATCTGGTAGGTGTTTTATATTGTCAAACATTAATGTTTAGTTGCATTTCAGTGGGTATGGACCAGGGATGCAAAAGGTCCTGCTATGTTCCAAACTGTCCCACAACCTTTGAATATTTGCCAGGTAGTGTTGTAGGTAAAATCAAAGGACCACCACCAGCCAAGCCTAGAATCTAAGTCCAATTTACATATAAATACAAAGAATTTTTCACATGTTCTTAATAGATACCAAATTTCCAGGTATACAGCAACCATGTAAACTGAGGGAAGTCTATACTTTCTCTTGTTCGGAACTTTACCAGCTGTTCAGTATTCTGTAAAATCATGTCATCAGTGGCAGCCCAGCTCCTGATCTAAGTCTCCAATACAACATACCTGCACCACTCTGCATTTGTAGCTCTCCCATACAGGGTGGTTTTCAGCTCTGATTTCAAAATGCAAACATAAAAAAAAAAAAGGTTCTAGTGTATGTATGCCCAAGTATTAACAAACTGACACACACAGATTCTTCCAGAATATGTATGCTCAAACATTTATAATTTGCCATGTTTATTTGTGATAGTTCACGTTATGTGTCATAACTAGGCTATGATTTGTAGTGGTTCGGCAGACAATGAACCGATTGGTCTTCCATAAGGTAATCTTCTTGATGATGTGCTCTGGTGTAATCAGCCAATCAGCTGAAAGAGTGGTTTCCTGGCCTGCCTCCAGTTATATACTGGAATTTATATAATGGATGTTCAGGCAAGGCACTCTCTCTCGCTCCTCCCTCCTTTCCTTCCCTCATTCTCTCCTTCTTTGTCTCTCTCGACCGTGCTCTCTTCTCATCGCCTGACCTCTGGTTCTTGGGACATAACCCTACAGAAGTCTTCAGCCTGCAGCCTGACCTGCAGATTTTGGATTCACCAGACCTTGCAGCCCTGTAAGCCACAGAGGCCTCCAGCCTGACCTGCAGATTTGGGGTTCCTCAGACACTGCAAACACATGAGCTAGCAGAAGTCTTCAGCCTGCTGCTTAACCCATGGATTTGGAACTTGCCAGCCTCCATGACTGCATGAGTCATTTCCTTGAAGTGAACCTCTCTCTCTATATATATTTATATATACACTTCACTAGTTTTGCTCCTCTAGAAAATCCAGTCTAAGAAAATATCCTTCTATAAATCATCTTCCCTTAATTTCTTCTTTACATTATTATCAGGACATTATAATGCCTTTTTTGGGGGGGGGGTTGTTATATTATCTATGCATTTTAATTCAGAATAAAGGTGACGTTTATAATAAAGGGGGCTATTGGTCTGATGCAGTCAGAAGGCACTGGCTTGGGCCATGTGGTCATCTAGTGGTAACTGAAGACCACCACCAAGCAAATTAGATGAGCCAATGTAACTGAGGTGCAAAACAGGGGAAGACTCTTCAGCCTAGTTTCTAGATTGATACAAGTATCTGGTACATGCTACATGTCCCATTTTTTGATGTCCCATCACAAAAGCTTCTGAAGGACAACATCTGAGAGGCATCAGATAGTCCTTGAGAGATGAACTGAACCCTTTATTGGTCCTAGGATGCCAGGCACAGTGACCAGTGAACCGCTGAGGAAGTAATTTCCTCCCTTGAGGAAAGCCTCTACTAGCCACTAAACTAGGATCATTGGAAGAATAAAAATGTTAAAGATAGGAAACATTGGCCCACCTCAGTCTAGAGACCATGCTGGCCCTTCCCTACTCCTGACAGCCTCCTTGAGTACCAAGGCACCTCATGTAAGACCCTCTAAGAAAAACTTGCTGGGTTTTGCTTTATCACTCTTCTTCTGTACCATGGAATAAAACAATAAACTATTTAATTTTAAGTGTAACTTTCCTACTTTCAAAGCAAAAATATGGTAGCAGAATCTGGGTGATATTTAAATTAGATCTCATTAAGTGTCTGCTGTGAGTTGGCATCAACTTGATGGCTATGAGTTTGGAGTTCTTTGTCTGGCATTTGTAACACTTGATGGATCATCTCAGCTAATCATCACAAAAACTTTAAGTACTCACCATTAATATCATCCCATTTACACAGATGAGGAAACAGGCTAAAAGAGAGAAAGTGACTACTTTTAGGATATACAGTTAATAAGTGCTAAAGTGGATTTGAATCCAGGAACTCTGATTTCAGAGCCCATGTTCTTAACTGTCTCACTGTATTTTTACTTTATGTCTTACCTCAGCTGCAGTAAACTTTTCCCTTGGCCCAGCTGTAATCCACAGTTTCACCCCAATTAGCTTCTCAGATGTGATTTCCTCTTTTAAGCTAGAAACAGGATTTTAAAAGTGTTAGACTGATGATTTACAAACCAACTTATGAATGATTTTAGCTTCTGGAATCAGAGGCCACAGAGGCTCCGAGAAGAAACTTCGAGAGAGTTGCTGCAGCCTTTCTCCCAGAGTGAGCCTCTCCTCCGCAGGCCCGCCCCAGAGCCATCAGGCCTCGCTCAAGCATTTCCTGTAAGCCAAGGCACCCAAATCAAGCCATACATAGGCAAGTCTTTTTACTACAATTCAGTCAGCTCTACAATTAGCTCATACCAATACATATTCTTACCACTATTAAAAAAAAAAAAAGTATACACACACACACTCGTGTAGAGAGACATTCTCATTTTCATTTTTCTTTTCTCTAAACTGAAGTATTAACCTTATATTAAACTAATTGCCTGACTTTACCAATTACCAAAAAACCCTGAAGAAGCTCTAACCATTTTTTTTTTTTTAATTAGGATTTGGGTGAAGATTTACAGAGTAAATTCACTTTTCATACAGCAGTTCACATATACTTTGTCTCATGTCATTGACCAAAATTTACAATGCAGCAGCTCCCCTCCCACTTCCTCCCCATAGTTACCTCCTCCCAGTGTCCATCCCTTCATACTCTTCTGCACCCTGAGCTATCTCCCTGTGCATAAGCAGTCCTTCCTTCTCCCATGATTGTTCTCTCCAGGGCATGTGTCTACTTGAGGTAAATGTTTAACTCACATGCCTGTACTTTGTTTGGCTTCTAACGATTTTTTAAAAAATGTTTATATATATAATTAATTTTTTGGTTTGTGTCTTGGGGGACAACTTAATGAGATGCTGATTCCCAATTTACAAAAGAGATGTTTTAATAATAATTTATTGACTTCTAAACAGTCGTTGAATGGAGCTCCTGTCACCTGAATAATCTACCTTGTATAAGGAATGACTTTTCAGTTTTATCAGCAGACTACCGTTGACACAAAATGGAAAGCAATACAGTCACCTCTGAATCTTCCAATTACTCCGAAGTCTTTTCTGCATGGATTTATAACCATTGTTGGTGGTAAATATCTCCTTTTTGGATGCATTGAAAAGAATGGTGTTCCGAAGGTCTTTCTCCATGGTTATCTGAAGGATGAAATAAGGGATCAGAAAACAATAAACAACAGTCCAAGAGAAAAACCTCAAAATGAGCAGCTGCCTTCTACTTCCTTATGAACAAAGAGTACACATGGACCCCTTCGAACAATTAACCATTAAAAGGGCAGCATTTGCCTAGGGATAAAGCTTAGAAAGCAGGAAGGGACAGGAAAGGACAAATGAAAGCAGCAAACAAAGGTAAGTGGGAAGAGTGCTGTTACACTGTGGGGATTGCAATCAGTGTCACTAAACAAAATGGATGTGACAATTGAATGGAAAACCAATTTGCTCTGTAAACTTTCACTCAAATCACCATAAGAGTTAAAAAGAAAGATTATACAGCTACAACTATGAAATCCCTAGAATTCTCAAAGGCTGAGAGGGAAATGCCTCATCATTAACTGCAGAAACCTCAGGCCAAACCCAGTCCATCCCTGGCTTCTGCCTCTGGTCTCTCAGGCTGGTGCTCCCACCATCCCACCCCTCCCCCCCATCTCCCAGCCCTTGTTCCCTCAGGCCATGTTTCTAATCCAATTCCTCACTTTTGGGGATAAAGCCTTCTAAGATTCTTTCCATATATATATTAACTTAATTTTATGAAATAGGATCTTACCGTATGTGCTGTTCCGCAACCCACCCGTTTCACCTCATCTTGCATCTCTGACATCTCTCTGTGCCAGTACATATGTCTCGAGCTACCACATTCTTTCAACCAGCTGCACAGGATTCCATTGTGTGGATATACCACAATTTATTTAATCAGTCATGTCAATCAGTATCAGTCATATATTGATTGACATCTTTTTTTCTTTCCAAAAATTTTTCTAGTAAAACAATGCTACAAACAGTATTCTTGAACATGATGTTTTTGTGCATATCTACAGAATTCATACCTGTTGAATGGCTGAGAAAAATAATTTTTTTATTGTGGTTTGGGTGAAATTTTACAAAGCAGATTCATTTTACACTCAACAGTTCATACACACACATTTTTTGTGTGACACTGTAACAGCTCTCCTCCCACTTCCTCCCTGTAGTTACCCTTTCCCTGTGTCCTCCCCACCTACACAGTTCTGCCTCTGTAGCTTTCTCCCTGTGCAAATACTGCCCTTCTGCTCTCCCATGGTTGATGGTTGTAGAGAGCGCATCTGCCTGGTTTAGTTGTTCAGCTCGTAGGCCTATTGTTTGGCTGAAAGTTAATCACGGGAGTAAGTCTAATTCCAGTCCCAAAGGGTGACTAGGGGCCATAATCTCAGGGGCTTCACCAGTCTCTATCTGACCAGAAATCTTGGTGTGGTTTTTTTGTTTTAAATTTTTTTTTTCACATTTTTCTGCCACTCTATCTAGGATCTCCAATTCTGATCCCTTTTGAAATGGTTGGCAGTGATGGTAGCCAAATTTTCCTAAAAAACAAAACAAAAAACCTGGACTTACTTGTATTTCCACTAACACTAGATAAATTTGTTTCCACGCAATCTTAACTACTGCCTATCTTTTTCATCTTTGCCAATGAAATAGCCAAAAAAAAAAAAAAACCCAAACTCATAATTGATTTTACACTTTTATGTGAGATGGCCACCTTTCAGTATCTATTAGCCACCTGCATCTCTTCTGAGTCTCTTGTTCATGTATTCTGTTCATTTGCCAATGAAATAGCCAAAAAAAAAAAAAAAACCCAAACTCATAATTGATTTTACACTTTTATGTGAGATGGCCACCTTTCAGTATCTATTAGCCACCTGCATCTCTTCTGAGTCTCTTGTTCATGTATTCTGTTCATTTTCCTGCTGGGTTTCCTGTTCTTGTAATTGCTCTTTAAGTGAGTATCTTTTTCAGTTTGTCTTTAGACTTAGTTTCTGGTAGCTTGTTTGGTCTGGTTGATTTTTTTGCAGACCATACACAAGGTTTTAAATTTCAGAGAGTCAAAACTATTAATCTTTTCCTTTTTAGCTTTGGAGTTGCATACCATATTCAGAAAGGCTTTTGCCATGTTAAGATTATAAATACATTCAACAATATTTACTTCCACTATTTTTTTTTAGCATTTGTATTTCGGTCCATCTGGAATTGAACTGGAGTCCCGGGTGGTGCAAATGGTTAAGTGCTTGACTACTAACGAGAAAGATGGTAGTTCGTGGTTCGAACCTGCCCACAGGTGCCTTAGAAGAAGGGCCTGATGACCTGCTGCTAATGGCCACAGACCTGAAAGCTCTCTGGGGCACAGTCCTACTTTGCAACAAATGGAGCTACCACCAGAATTGGAAATCTCTCGATGGCAATAGGGTTTGGTTTCTTTTTGGTGTTTAAAATGAGCTTTTTTTTTTTCTCCCCTAAAGTACTAGAAAATTGCTCAAAACTAATCTACCTTTTCAATGCTAATCTGAGATGCCACCATTACTACATAAAAAATTCCTGTATGTACAGTGAAACCTGTGAGAACTAGAACTCAGGGGGTACTCCCTTGTTCCAGGTCTTGCAAATTTCCTGGCTTTGACAGGGTGTTGTCTTACCATGTTTCTATTGGTATTAGTGCACAATGTTTTGTGTTCTCCTTCTTTGACAGACTTCCACCTTACACAGGTTGTGGCTTTCACGGGTTTTACTGTATTTGGGTCTTATTCAAAGCCTTTTATCTGTAAGTACTTGTTCGGATTCTTACTAGTTCAATTACTACAGCTTTACACTATGTTGTAACCTAGTGGTGCTAGAAAGCTAATCCCCTTATTATCCTTAATTTTTAGAATTTTCCTGGCTAGTTTCACATATTTATTCTTCCAGCTGAACTTTAAAATCATTTTGTCAGGTTGAGAAACAAATCCCTCTATGATGTCACTACTGTCACACAACTATCTTTGGATGCTGCATTCCACCCACATGCAGGTTTGTCTTCATGCTGTATACACACAACATTGTATTCTGCTTTTTCTAGTTTCCTGACAGTTTCCATGATTAGGTTAGTGGCTGCATCATCTGTGGTATGGTTGTGCCATAATGAACTGCTGCCTTCACTGGTTATCTTTTCAACTTTTTTACCATCACAGATACTACGGAAATTTATTTCTGCTTTTGCAACTGACAGATTATTCCTGTAGGTCAGATTCCTAGAAGCAAGGGGTTTTTCCAAGGAAGGGAAAGGGCATGAACTCCTTTCGTCATGGTCTGGCTCTTAATGGGCGAGTACAGTATGAAAGCCACACTTTACTTCAACAGCTTAGCCCCCTGGTGAGAGCTGATCTAGATTCCCCGCCTGTCAGAATGACCCAGAACTTAGTTTCTTAGGATTAGAAGGGTTTTTAAAACAGAAACAATTAATAGTTGCGTACCATGTCCAATTACTTTCTCTTCAATAACCCTCAAGATCAAGAGTATTATTTTCCCAAACGAGGAATGCGAAAACTAAAGGTCTCAGCAATGTGCTTAATCTTGCTGAGCATAGACTAAGATCTTTCGATTCTCCTTGCAACGCTTGTTTACACTCAGCAGAAGGGCTAAATCTCGCCATAGCCCGAGACGACGAGAGATTCCGGCTCGGTCCGCTATCCGGGATCCCGGCCTACATCCCGGCGCCCCAGTTTACTTTATCCCAGCGGACTTCGATTTTTTTCTTAACCCTGTACCGGAGGCCTCGAGGCAATCTGGCGAGTCGCTCGCCAACTCCCGGGCCGCCCAATGCCCAGCCGGCCCATTGCTGTTAGAGGCCTTCTCACCTGAGACCCAGCGACCACCATCTTTACCTGACGCCATCCAGCATCCGGCGACCAGGTTTCCACCGGCCGCTTAGCAACTGTGTGAACACTCAGGTACGATGGGAAGGCGTGGACCTGGACGTAGATCTACCTCCGGAGCGACGTGATGACGTCATAAAGACAGACGCCGATTCGCTTCGGGCTTTGACCCCGAAAGTGCGTCACGGGGGGGCGGGACTAATGCGAAACTTTGCCATTATTTTGGTTTATAATTTCGCCAATAATTCTGTTCATTTGGTTATTTAATATGAATCCTTTTTTAAAAAAACTTTTAAAAACGATAGTTCTGAATGGCCCACATTTGGCTGCACTCGGAGGAGAATAGCGAAGGCTTCCGGCGGAGGGGAGGGAACACCCAACTTCTCGTTCAACAGCGCAGGCGAAGAGCCACTGGAACGGAAGCCGAATTCCGCAGCCACGACCTCGGACCTTGTTTGGGCTGGCCGCGTGATGGGTGCTGTGAGAGGAGTTCAGCGCTTTAGGATGTGAGGGAAAGCTTCCCGGAGGATGCGGACAAGTGGGTGGGTGGCGCGAGCTAGTTCCTTCTCTTTTATTTTCCTCGCATCATTGAGCGGCCACGGTTGGAAGTCCTGGTCTGAGCGCCGGGAGATGGCGGTGAAACGAACCTGCCCTCTGGCGTCCACAGGCGGGAGGTACACGTTGGCCAAATCCTACACGTGAAAACAAGCTGTGTTAAGGTAGCTGTAAGAGCCCCGAGCTGGCCAGGAAAGGCGTACCACTGGAGCAAAGATCTGAAAAAAGAGTAGTAGTATTAGGCAAGAGGTGGGGAAACGCGTTCCTGCCCTGTCGGTTGTCCTGTCGTAGCTGTAAAAATGAGGAGCTGGACGCCAGTAATCACCAAGGCCACTGTTCTCCCCACGGGGGATGTTCTGTGCCAGTCCTAAGAGGGAGCGAACTTGTGTGCAGTGCCGCCGCCGCAACTTCTAAAGGTAGCGACGTCTGACGGTT